GCAGATAATCAACTCATAAGAATGTCAGGAAAAGTATTTTAAAGATTTTCCTATCTCATTTGTCTAACATTCCTGCAATGAAATTAACTGATAGTGTAAGATAAAGGAGAGAACAGATCAGCTAGGAATGTTAAATGTTAGGCATGTAATTATAGATTTACACTTGTAATGAATCTAATTGATACCAGAGAAGAAACTAAGAAAATAATAAATTGTTTCAGGGAATAAAAAATCAGTTATGGATAATTAAGCTATAATTATCATTGCTGGATTAAGCTGATAGACTTTTCTTTCTTTTTACAGCACTGTATTTTTTATTTTAAGTTATAGTTATCATGGGCTTAATTATTTTTATTTTCATAAAATAAAAATCAGTAACAATACTTAACTTTGATTGCACTGTTAAATTTCAGAGTGCTTTTTAAAAGCATGACTTCATTTCTATTTCAGAGTTCAGCTTCACAGATTTGAAGAGGTATACCGAAGGTCACAAAGTTAGTCAATGAAACAGTCCAGGAATCTTTGGCTACCTGCCCATCCTATTTCCATTTCCACTGTACTGTATTGCTTCTTACCCCCTACAAGATTTTATGTTTGTCCTAGAATTTTTACTCTTGGGTTTCAAGCCAAAAATGAGACTAGCAAGAATTTCCAAAAGTGAACAGTTTAGACATGTTAGGTTGCCAACAGGTGAAAGTAAAATCTAGTCACGTGTAGAAGATGTTTAGTGGTTTCCTCTCTAGGCTTATTCCTGGAATTTAAAAGTAAAACAAAAGAGAAAGAAAGAGAGGGTTGAGGTTGGGTGGTTGGTAGAGATAGAGAGAGAAACAGTGAGCTATTTTGACTTGCTAAGAGGTTTTCTTTTAGTTACGAATTTTATTGGATGACATGCAATTTTAAACCAGCAATGCTAATTCTGTGATTAGGTTAACAAATATAGGCAACACTATGTATGAGAAATGTCACATTTATTTTATTAAGAAATGCTGGATGAGATCTAATATACAGGTTCATTTCTGAGATATTGGTGTGTTCATTCTTTAGGAACAGGAATGATTGATTATTTTGTCAGACAATCATGAATTTTTATTGAGTTCAGAAAGAAACTGACACTCCGAAGCTTGCTAAAGGTCTGATGAACTTTATATCAACTACCAATTTTTAGTATTTATACATTTTTGGCTTGTTTTGCAAAACTTGAACAATTTTGCAAAATGCATCATGCCTTTATGCAGCACAAATTATGTAAATAAAATCAATTATTTTCCTAGCTTCTACAAGACTGTTGAAGAACTATATAAAATCATTGGGCTCTTTCCTGAACTTTATATAGTAAAGATATACATATTTTTTAAGGGTATCATGAAAGATATTCATGATCCAGAATTACAGGATATGGGAGGAATTTTGTCTTTTTTATTCTCTTACCAATCTAATCAGGGAGGTATATCCATTCATTGGATAAATGTTCCTGGAAAAAATATTATGACGGGGACTACATTCTTATTTATTAATTTAAAAACTGAAATGATACTAGGTAAATTTTCAGAGACCTCTAAGTCCCATTTTCTACAGATTGAACAAAGGATTTACAATCCCTAAAGTAGGTGCCCTAATACCACCAAAAAGTGACCTACAGTCCAGCGTTAGATATACTGTATAAAGAATTCAGAGAGTTGGTTACTTCAGCCTGCAATGCTTGCCCACAGATAACTTGTACACTTAGAGAGGAGCTGCCTAGAGGTAAGAAATAGCAAATGCTAAAAACCAGGCTCTATATAACTCCCCCACACCTCTCTGGAGTTTAGACATTAATCTGGGCTATAGGAAAGTGCCTCCAGCCACTTCTGATCTAGATTCCTTTCTTTAACATTGACTTCTACATTAATTCTTTCGAAGGACTGAACAGAACTCACTGTGGGGTTTTGGGGGACTTTTAAAATGACAGATGAGGAGGTAGCTATCTTTTCTGTAATAATCTAATGGTTAGAGCACTCATTCATGGAGTAGGAGACCCACATTCAATAATTGGGTCAGTTTGAAGTGGTTCAAATGCACATTTTCTGCCCCCCAGGAGAATGCCTTTACCACCAGGATATGGACTAGCATTGTTCATCCTTCTGTTGAAGTAGCTTCATTATGTAAAATGAGTTGACTGAGCTAGAAAGAAATTTTGGAAGAATGAGAACGACTTGGTAGCTTTACTTGACTCAAAGGGGAGAGTCCCAGATTATGGTCTGCTCCCCAAAATATTTCTTGTTTTTATCTAATGACTTAAATATAAATGCCTAATATTTCCTAGAAGGCGGAACCAGTTTTCCAAGTGAGTACCCTGATCACTGGGCTAGAAAGACATGTTCACTCTTCTGGAATCCATGTAGGAGTAGCTTGGAATTTAACCCCTGGAATTGGTTAAAACTAGATTGGAGATAAGAGGTAGTCAACCAATAAAAAGAGGACAGAAAGCAGGGCATTATGATACCTTACAGGCTAAGGAAGTGGAAAAAGGTGATTTATCACCCAACAAGTCATGGAATCAACAGGAAGGCTGGCAAATGAAAGAGAGAAATACATGCCACACACATGCACACATTAGAGTTTACAGGAACAGGATAAATGGCTATCATTTAGGACTGTTTGGGCCATAGGCATTCTTTGTTTGTAAAGAATTGTTTTTCATCTCTACCTGTAATTAAAACTGAATATATTATACTCAAAGTTGCATATAAAACTATGTTGAGGGAATTGTTTTAAAACTAGTTTTACTAAGAAATCTGCTATGTGTTTGGGAAGATTCACTGAAGTCTTCAGCTTTTGAGAAGAATAGAAAACATAAGTAATGTCACATTTAGGTTCCTGCAACTTAAAAAATTGAACAACAAAAGCACCTATCCTTACTTTGGGATAAAAGGGTCAGGACTGCAGGACCCACTCCAAGGAGCATAGGTGACTGGTAGGTGATGCACAGGGGTGCACATGCCCCCCCGACGAGGCTGGTGCCCCCCGACAGGGTCGGTGGCTTCTGAAGATGCCCCCCCCAGATTCAGGAGGCACCAGTCACTCATGGCAAGGAGGGCTACCCTGCAAAAGATGAAGGCAAACCATTTGCCAGGAGGCAGCAGAAAGACCAAAGCAAGGCAAGATGTACACATAACTATGGTGCACAATACAAAAATTAAGAAATACAATGTGTAGAATATCTTAAAGTTTCTCATCATTTGGATCTCAATTCAGCAGTGTACTTGATACACACTTAATTTGGATCAGAACTTTTTTTTTATTACAGCCTGTCTTAATAAAGCATAAAAAGTATGGAATGTTAAAAAGTGCTTTAAGTTGCTGAGTATGAAAAAATGAATCCCTATAAATAAGAATAATGTTTATAACATTAATAAAATATGAAATAGAAGTAAGCAATAGTGTTCCTAATATATTTCTTAGGTTTCCTTGGCATTTGATATATATTTTTTAAAGATAAAGATCATACCTATATCAAACTAGTGTCTTATGCAAGAGGGATGTGCTCTTTTAAGCCACTTGTTTTGACTGAATAGCTTGTAGATTTATAACATGCCAGTATATTTACAACTTGCAATTAAAGACTCCTACCAAATATACAATTCAAAGCACAAATCATAATAGCTCTTATGTACAACTTTCAAAACATAGTAAAATGAAAATGGAATGGACTTTTAAAGCAAAATAAAAATGATAAAGCTGTATTTCAAGGTCTGTATAAACACACCTGAGGTTTTATGGCTTTTTGATTGTTGTCACTGGTTGACGGACAGCAGAGATTACTTAGAATTTTCCTGAATTCACTTGCATGCATCATACAAGAAACCTAGAAGACAAGCATGTAAGGCTATTCCCTGTCATGAGTATAAAAAGAATAATTTTTTCATCAATTTTATACCTTAAAATTACATGTCTTAACATTTTATTAGTAACAATTTTTCATCAGCATTGAGGTCTGCATACAAAATAAAATGGGCCTGACTCTCAGCTGCCTTATACCTTCCATAACTATTTGTGCAAAAAATGTGGTAGATGCTATCTGTATGACTTGCTAGCAGTTTTTATCTATTTTACTTTAGTGTAAATGATAATGTAAACAATGGATTATCTGGCAAAAGCAGGAAGCTGGGAAAATGAAGCATCTTCCTACTTTTGGCACTAACTCACTAAGGCTTCATTTACACAACAAACTTTACCTTGTATGGTGTTTGTCAACATTTATGTGAGCTGACATGAAACAATGTATATTTTGCTGTGGTCTCACTGACAGTTCTGTGGCATATAACTTAAGAGGGGAAACTTGTTCAACCACATTAACATTTTGTAGTATAGAGTAAGCTGTTCTTTATTTGGGTACAAGCATTCATCTTTGTGCAGCAGTTCCACAACTACTAATAAAAGGGGATACAATATATGTACTTTTCTTGAATATTTTTTTTTTTGGTTGAAAGGCGCTAAATAATGTCAAATTATTTTAGAGTATACTTTGCTTATATGCCTATTGAAGTGCACAACGTGCTAAACTGCATAACACAATGTCAGTTGACTGTCTTGCCTACTGTTTACAACAACTCTTAACAAACACTGGCGATTAACTGCATACATTGCTTAGGTGTATAGCATCTTTCAGCTCCCCTGCCTCATCTGTAACTCAGTTGTAGTCTGTTTAACTATGCAAGAAACAGTGAAGGGGAAGCAGCTGTTAATGGGCTGCTAGCTATAGTGTATAGCGTCTTTCAGCTCCCCTGCCTCATCTGTTACTTAGCTGTAGTCTGTTTAACTATGCAAGAAACAGTGAAGGGGAAACAGCTGCTAGCAGAAGCTTTGAAAATGTCTGAAGATGATGGTGTCTAGTTGGTTTCACTGCTATCTCCTTCCTTTTCCAGGCTTCTAACAGCAGCCCTGAAGCTGACTCTGAGAAGCCTTGAAAATTTCAGGGCTTCTAACTAGGCTCAGCACTGACAGCACAATGTGTTTAATCAGTGTTGTTTTCAAAAAGTTTGGGTACATGCTTATTCCAGGTAAGCGCAAAGCTTTTATTCATTTCTGAGGTTATGCACTTGTACAGAGTACGCTGAAAATACTTTCACTTATGCTATATGTATTTGCAAGATGAGTTAATATTGAATTAAGATGAATTAATATTCATTGTTCATGAGGTTATAAGTGTGAAGAAAAAGAGGGCTATGCTGGAAACCCTTTTGCAATTTTAGTTTCAGTGGGTACCGCTACCAACTGTTTTTAATTTCTACCACCCAGATTAGTCAGAGGATTTTCCTTTTCATGTCATGGCATTTACCATGCTGTGTGAAACATGATCATAAAAATACAAAACTGGAAGTCATCCAGTACAAACCCATGCAGGTTTCACTATATCTCAGCAATCCCATACAGATGCTTATCCAGGTTTGTCCAACAAAGAAGACCCTGCAGCTTCTATAGACAGTTTATTTCATTGTCCTAGTCCTTCTGCTTTGGGGATTTTTATCCCTACTTCCCCCCACCCCATATTTAATCTACATCTGTTTTGGGGCAGTTTAAACCCTTTCTGTCATGTCCTGTTGCCCATCATGACAAAGGAGTACAATGCTTCACTGTCTCCATTAGGGCAGCCCTTTACATATTTGAAAACTGCTAACATGCACCTCCTAATTTTCCTCTCCTCCAAACAAAACATAGCTAGTTCCTCCAACCTGTCCTCACATGGTTTGAATTCTAATTCCTTTGTCCACATGTGTCTCTGTCTCTTGTCTGGATCCTCTCCAGTGTCTTTCCACCCTTTGTTAAAGGTTGTTCTGCGTCAAAGCTCTGCTCTCATGGTGACCTGACCAGTGCCTGGTCTGGCATTTGATACTTCTGCTACCATAACCTGACTTCTTTTTTGGATGGGTTAACAGTGTGTGTGTATCCACATGCTGTGCACTCTGCAAAGCCCGTATGCAAACCTGGGAAGCACAGTCCTATTTGGTACACAGAAGAAACATGGGCATGTGCCCACACAGGAACTGTTAGGAGCTCCTGGTTGTTAGATGGGCTATCTGATGTGTACCAACTAATTCCTTGGGACAATGGAAAACAATAACAGGGACAGAAGTCAGGGTCAGAAGTTGATAAGGAGTGCTCAACTGGGGTGGGGTGGGGTGGGGGGGCTGGCACAGAGCAGAGTGAACCAGCCAGAGCCCACTGGCCTTTGAACAATTAAAAGCATAGGCCTGTTTGATGCATAAGGGGAAACATGGGCCTTACGCCCACTGAACAACAATTAGCTTCTCTGTGTTATTAAGAGGGGGCTATGGGGTATGTATGTGTCAACTCAATTCTGGGAACAGCTAAAGAGAAAACTGAGGGAGCTGCGCTATTCAGTCTGGAAAAGAGAAGAATGTTGGGAGATTTAATAACAGCCTTCAACTCCCTGAAGGGTGGTTACAAAGAGGAAGAAGCAAGACTGCTCTCAGTGCTGGCAGGTGAGAGAACAAGGAGCAATGGTTTCAAGTTGCAGCAAAGGAAGTTTAGATTAGATATCAGGCAACACTTTGTCACTAGGAAGGCAGTAAAGTACTGGAACAAGTTACCCAGACAATGTGGGGGACAGTGCCTGCCAGTGCTGGGGAAGCTGTTCAGGTGCATGGGGCTCCAGGCGGGCTGGGGAGGCCGGGGGGAAGTGCCTGCCTCTCCAGGGGAGGAAGAGGCAGGGGGCCCTTTAGGGGTAGTAGAAAGCTGCGTGGTCCAGCGGGTGGCAACGAGGCCTTTGCTCACAAGGGTGGGGGTAGGAGATGCTGGAGGGAGCGGGGGGCTGCAGGTCTGGAGTGAGGGGCACTGGCAGAGCTGGGGGGACAGGGCCTGTGGGTCAGGAGTGAGGAGCACCAGCAGGACAGAGGGATGCAGGTCAGGAGTGAGGGGCATTGGCATGGTTGGGGGGGCCTGGGAGTGAGGGGCATGGGGCTTGGGGGACTGTGGGTCAGGAATTCAAGGCCCTGGCAACACCAGGGGGCTCCAGGTCAGGTTTGAGGGCCGCCAGCATGGCTCAGGGGGGCAGGGTACCGCAGATGGGGAGTGAGGGGCAGCAGTAGGGCTGGGGGAGGTTGTAGTTTGGGAGTGAGGGGCAATGCAATGGGCAGGGACAGGGCACCACTGCCCCCCCACAACCATATACACTTCCTGCATCCCCTCCCATGTGACCGGTATCCAGTTTTTGGAACTGAAAATACAGTAACCCTACTCTTGAGTGTATATTAACAATATTTTCTAGAAGCGGGACATTAGCTGCCTAGTTCTCCTGCTTTTCCTGGGTCAGGGCCTGTGCCCTGGGGCAGGGCTGGGGCCAGTTTCAGGCAGCGTTTAGACCTGCAATTCTCAACCTGTGGGTCGGGGCTGGGGTGGCCATCATAGAGGACATTCCAGTTTTCTGCTACTCTGTCCTCTGTTGATACAAAATCTGATGCATTTATGTCCTCTATTTTTCTCTTCAATAGAGGACAGTGGCATTGGCGACGCGTAGGGGGGTGCAAGTGGGTGCATGTGCACCCCCTGAGCATGGCGGTGCACCCCCTACGAAAAGGCGCCTGCGGGTGGTCATCGCTCACCACGCCGCCCCCCCCAGCAGTGTCCTGTGTCAGGCAGCGTCTGCAGGTGGCTGCCGACCCTTGGTTGCTTCTCCAGGGGCAGCCCGACTGTCCTCTATGATGGCCACCCTAGCCATGCCCCAAAGGTGGGTTGCAAGAATGTCCGAAAAAAACTTGAAATAATGGGTTCTCCCGGCAAGGAGAAAACAGCGGTTCCAGCCTGCGAGGGTCCTGCCCAGCCACCCCACACCCTGGGGCGCCGGGACTGAGGGGCCCTGGGTGTGGACCACAATGGCTCCTGGTCCAAAGGGAGCCACTGATCTCAGTTTGAGATGATGGTTGTCTGGGGGCTAAGCCATCCCGCCTCAGGCATGGGCTAGACGAACCTCGGCGGCGGGCGCAGGCTGGAGGCGAGTCCCTCAGCGGGGAGGGGCGGGGCGGGGCGGGGCGGCAGCGCTGCAGCCCC